TATATATATATATATATATATATATATATATATATATATATATATATATATATATATTGTTCAATAATTGAAGTCTTTGTTTTATCTTCTCTTTTGTTATTTAGTATATTTGATGATGATAATAGAGTTATGTGATTGCATTGATGTTTATCACTAGTTTATAGCTGAATAAAAATGACAGAGCGAAAGGGAGAGAGTGAGAGATTCAATTGTATGTCAGAATAGTTGAGATAGTATATATATAAATATATATATAGATATATATAAATAAATATATATTTTTTACGTTTATCCAAAGAGAGTAAAAGGGTGGATTAAATGGCAAAGTGAGCTTACTAAAAATATATGTTCGTACAATTACTATATACCGGATGCAACTAAAGCGCGCCGCAAAATTTCAACCGCTACCTAATACGGCAAATTAGTAAAATTAATGTATCTTTGATTCTAGGACTTCTTGCGAATTTTGAGATTCTTGACTTTCAAGAATCCAAAAATCACCAAATGCTTAAATTCTGCCAATCGTAGAACCTTAAATATTTCGACTTTTAAAGGGCCTAATTCTCTTCGTGTTGTAATTCTTCGGACATCTATACTTTTAGCTTGTATTTATATAATTGCGTATCTCCTCGCATTTTCCTAGATACTAGGAAACTCATTAGTCATCGACTCTCCAAACTCTCATAAGCACTCGACCGTTTCGCACTTTAGCGGCAACCGGTGTACGTATATCGTAACATCGAATTTTCTCGGGGTTTCCCCGCTTGTTCAAGATGAGGGGTGCTAATACTCGCCAAGATTATATTAGCTAATAGAAGGAAGAGAGAAGGAGAAAGAGAGAGAGAAGGAGAGAGAAGGGGATAAGTTGGGAAGGAAAAAGAAAGAGATTTTATAATGAAAAATATAACGAAACATTTATTGTCGCAACAACAACGTGTCTTTGTAGCCAGATATATATACACACAAATATATATATACATATACATTACATATATATATATATTTTATATTGAAAGTTGTGATGTGCTGGTAGTCGCACGCGATGACTAATGAACCGCCTACACTTGGAACATAATTTGTGTACTACTTGCGATATGTACCTCGTGAAATTGTCGTCAACGTGTACTCTTCTCGCTGTACGCACATCGATAATAACAGTTATCAGCCTAACTTTGACAGAAATTCGTAACGATGTATTTACCCCTGTGAGTTGAATAAATGTTTCACAACGATATACCGTACGATAATTAAACCTTACGTGAGACTTTCATCGTAAAAAATCTTCCGTCTTTTCCTAGTGTTAATTTTTTATATTCTTAGTATCTTGGAATTTGCCTAGCACCTTTCTGTTCACTTATTTAGCAGATAAGTGAACAGAAGTTCATAGTTTCCCTTTAACTCTGTACCAATCACAATCTTCGTTCTGGAGCACTTTTCCCTCCTTCTGTAGCTTGGTAAGATGGTGTCTTACAGTATATACCGCAGCTAACATCAGTTTCTCAGGAGTGTCCTAAACAAAAATTGTTCCGCTTTAAAATGAATCAATCAATTGCAGAAGTATATATCAAAAGAGCAAATTGCAGATCAAGCCTCAACATAAATCAAGTTAACTCAAGGTCCATTAGTTTTAAATTCAACTTATTTAAAAAGATAGACTGATTACTCAACCTCTAGCCTCTATATATATATATACACACATACATGTTAACATTAATCGACATTACCTTGTACATCTGCTTCGCAATATCAATGTCACTTATAGGTTTGTTATTCTCTTGCTTCTCCAACATCTGTAAGATCTCTGCTTCTCTCTGCTGCCTGTGTTTGATATAATATTGAATACGCGGCACGGGATCGCCCAGGACCGGGCCGTGGCCCGGGTAAATCGTCTTTGGCTGCATCTTTAGGATCTTCTCCAACGACAATATGTACTCGTGCAGGTCCTCGAACACTGTTGTGCCCTCACCAAGAATACAGTCACCGCTGAACAGAACGTTCTCATCTTGCAACAGCAGGCACGCATGATCGGTTGTGTGTCCAGGTGTGTACTTCACCTGGAGCTTCGCCCCTTCGACCTCCACGACCTGTTCATCCTTGAGAGGCTGCCAGTGGATGGGCTTCTCCTCAAAGTCGTCGGGTGTACGTGGCAACTTCCATACAATGGGTGGATCGCCTCGTGGAAACAGCTTCTTCAGTAGACTCCGCACGGATTCCACACCACCGATGTGATCTGGGTGCCAGTGGGTAATCAGCACATGTTGGATGGTCGCGTTCTCGTCGTGCAATACCTGATTCAGTAATTTTGTGTAGGCCTCGCTCGTCTTCGCTTCTCCAGAATCGATCAGTACACGTCTGTCATAATGAAAAAAACTCCTTGTCGTCAAAGAAAAAGGTCGATAAAAACCAAAGAAAAAACGATCAACTTACACCAGCAAGTGTATAATATGAATTTCGCACGCAATTCCTTACGCATATGCATATGCTGTCGTATCGCATAACGCGCAAATTTTAAATTCGCGCATTTTTCACTCTACGCATATACCACGAAGGCTGCGTTCGTTTTGGGCGCTTATGCGCTGTAAGCGTCATTCTACCTTCTTCTCGCATGTAATGAGCGATAAAGATAGAACAACGCTTACAGCGCGTAAACGCCTAAACGAACGCAATCGAAATATGTCGCTATATTTCATCACTATGACAGGTTTCATAACCTTATATCCGTTAACTTTAACGATTAATATTTCATATTTTGTGGCAGTGTGACAATTTTAACTGTCATATTCAATTTTTGCGCGTAAAAATACACAATATTGTTGAATTTCAGCCAAATCTGAGGTGTGAGGACTTTAAACTGTGTAATTACTCCAACTTCTTAAGTTTTCTATTGTGTATAAAATAACGTCAAATAAGCATGTTTTTATGGAAATTTGTGATAACAATTACATTGTTAGTATTTATAAGGAACATTAGTTTAATGAATACAGTCACATATTTAATGAACACATCTTTCACCTATGCCCTGTGCCTATGAGATAAGTATTGGTGCCCTGCAGTGTCATCGGTCCAGGATTGCAGCCCAGGATCCGAATTATCTTATTAGACAACCTTGCTATCGGTGGCAGCTTCGTTAGAGGCGGCATAATTTCTTTCTGGATTTCGTGCACTCGCGAAATATTCGTTAAGAATACGAAAATGAGTACTTGCACTTTGGAACTTGACCGCGTCCAATCCTACATTTATTATCTCCAAGTGCTCTCGAGACTTTTCCACTCTTACTGTACTTTAAGGTAAATTTTACTTTATCTTCAAAATCTTACGCAACAATGTAATCTACACGTGTACGAGACGATCAATTGTAAGAAAAGCACTGAGAGAAAGAATTAAGATAATATTCAAGTCAATATATTACATTTGTTCTTCTTAATTGAACTTGTACACTAATGTAAAATATGCACATTAATATGAATGCGCTATTTTATTAGAAATGACGTCAAACATCGCAGTTGCTCTTAAAAGTAAGATACTTTGGAACCAAGGCAACAGATATAGGTTAGCTGCAGAGAAAACTACTTTATAACTACTGTAAAATTTATGAATTTGATTGGTATATGCTATTAGATTTAGCCAAGATTAAAGGTATGTACCAATAAGATTCATGAATTTTATAACAGTTGCAAAGTAGCTATTATGCTGTTTCCGAAAGACTTCTGCATCAATGCAACAAATTAAAGTGAAACAAATATACTTTTTTTCAGTTTAAATTAAAAGCATTTTAAAAGGAGCACACACTCTTGTGTAAAGACAATGTACAACGCATAAGAAAACTGACCAATCAGAGTCCTTCATTTTCACCATGGCAATAGAAATGAGGACTTTGGCCGGTATTCATAGTCGAATCTTAGGCCTGTTCTTTGTAGCTGCACTACTGAACTAGTGCAATAAGTTAGAGTGAGAAAACGTATATTTGTTTCACTTCAATATATTGCACCAGTTCAGCAGTGCAACTACAAAGAACAGGCCTCTTATTTCAAGACCGTCTTAAGTAATGTCTTAAGATGCGAATACAGCTCTGTGATTGGTTCATGACATCTTAAGACAGTACTTAAGATGATCTTAAATATAAGATCAGACTATGAATACCGGCCTTTGATTCATTTCTTTGTGACTTGTGTATTATGCACAGATGTCCATGGCCGGTATTTATAGTTGAATCTTATTTCAAATCATCTTAAGGCTGATATTTTACGTGTCATACGACAAGCTTTTTGGATACGTTCATTCGTTGACGAACAGAGAACCTAGAAATATGGCTTTTGCACACAGGACGCGGTAATACTTGCCGCGCGAAAGCCAATCAATATGTTGTTTTTCCGTAGGAGCTAGAAGGTTATTACGGAAAGCAGCATATTGATTGGCTGTCGCGCGAACTTTCGCCGCGCGGCAAGCATTACCGCGTCCTATGCAGGAGCCATAAGAATGGGAAACAGACGCATATTTTGGCAGTTTAAAAACTTTTTATTATTTGTAAGGCTTAAAGAAGCTAGAAACTCGTTAGACTCGGTGTATTGAGCTAAAAGGAGATTATGTTGAAGAATAAAGTTGAGTTTTGCTAACAAAATGTTTTTTTTATTTTCATTCTAAGGACTTATTAATCAAACCTGATAAAGTGCAACGGGAATTAGATGCAGAAGTAAAAAGTGCAAACAACGCTAACAAATTTTTCATCGGTCATACAGCTAAATTCTTGCGCCAAATTAGTTTTTTCGTCATACGACAGATGGCGCCAGAAACGCAACTAGCGGGTTAGCGGTCTAGTGAAATTAGTTCCAAAGTGGCCGCTACGAGCCGCCACCGTTCTTGACGGAGAATCGAGGGCGTAGTTAGGGTGAGATAGGCTTAGCACCTTTACTTAGTACTCCTTTTTGTATACCCTATATATTCAAATAAACGAAACAAAACGAGGGCGTAGTACAATTCAATGACGGATTAGACATACTTTCTATTTGGAGAAAAATATGTAAAATTCAACATTTTAGATAAACATTTTTATTCAAGGCTGAAAATTTAGGCCTGGCCTATAATAGATGTAAACTGTAAGAATAGGCCAATCATAGCTGATTATTCTTGTAATAATCGACTGTGATTGACCAATTCTTACGGCTTACGATATTTATTGTAGACTAGACCTTAATTCGGCAAAAACAATGACATCGAGATTGTTCAAAAGAGATTCTTGAAATCTCCAGTCTCAGATACATGCAAGACGTAGTATTGTCATCGTTTTTAATTCTGCTATTCTTCAATTTTATTTTCTAGTCGAGTTTCATACCGGAAACTTATATGTGTGAAAAATATGAAGAATGCATCTTATCAGATGTATAAAACTTACTATACTATCACTTTCGAACTGCATAAACTGCGTTTGTGTGCGTTTTTCGGTCATGAAGTACATTTAGATCAGTTTCATAGAGAAACTTCACATTTGATAGACACTTTCAGTATCGTGCTTATTTTTCTTCGTGTTTTTATTCCTCCGTGAAAATTTGGAAGGATTCGTCGAGTGACTTGTCAAACGACATAACAAGTCATATAAAAACATAAAAACATAACCTATTCGAAAGGAGCAGCGATCCGGGAGTTGACGAGACATTTCTCTTTGGATTGGGTCTGAAATTCTCTTCTCATGTTATTTCGTTCGATTTTTCACTTTTATCGCATATACACAAGTTTAGTTACGCTGACCTAGTAACACACCTTATCTACGGACCATCGATTAGCATTATCAACGCGACCCTAAGAATCCATGGCCTAACGTGCGTGCGACAGTCGTTTCCCTCTTCGTCGCAGATAATTGCCGTTTACGGTGCAGGTCGTAAACAAGCGTTCTTGCGCCAAAATATCTCTTCAATAGAACTCCACGCGATTTCAACTGACTGCCGCGCGCAAAATTCGCCGAGACAGCACGAACTTCTAAACAACGTCTTAAAGACGTCCGAAAAAAGACTTTTAGATGTCTTTTAACCGTTTTTAATCGTTTTTCTAAGCCTTTGTAACTTAGATATTAACTTTTAATATCGGATTTATGCTCGTTTCTACCATTTTTGGTTAACTTAACCGGCTGATTATTCTAATGGAATTGACTAGTTGCATCTGTCAATTCTGACTAACGAGAAATGCGATTGGTCAATTCCATTGGAATAATCGGCCGGTTAAGTTAATTAAAGTTGGTAGAAATGAGCATAAGGACCGATTTTTTCAACCTAATCTAATCTCTTAGTAAGCTAACAGTTAACTCATATGTTAGTTTTTCTTTCAATTTAGACAAAGCAAACATATGATGTAAGTATTAATTAACTTATAAAAAGATTGGAAAAACGGCCCTTAAATTTATTGTATATCTGAGTTCTTTGACTGAATCATATAACGTACGCGAAATTATATTTGCAATTGCGATCCAACTGCACTGAGAAAAAAAATATTTAGAAAATAAGAACTATTTATTCGGTACTAATAACATATTTATTTAAATCTAAATTCTTTTATATACATTTAAATGAGATATACAGAATGTTTTTTTGAAAATTTAAAGTTTTAAGAAAATACATTTTTTCTTATTTAAAAAAAATATTTTATATATTTTTATAAATATTATATTATTATAATTTATTATTATTATTATTATTATTATTATATTATTATATTTGTTATTATTAAATATTTTATATCATTATATGAGTAAATATATGAGTAATGTTATCAGTGCTTACCGTAAATAAATTTTTTTTTATTTCTTAGATATTTTTTTCTCTCTGTGTAAAAGACTCGTGTTTAACTCCGAATTCGAATATGTCACAGGAGACAAGTATTCCAGATAATTATCATTAATATGTGCCTTAGATATCTTACAGGCGTTTAAAAAAAAATTCGTGCCGTCTCGGCGACTTCTTTTCATCTCCGACGATCGTGAAGTCATCGACGGTAAGGCTGATGCGCAACTTCGCGTTATTCGCCGTCTCGGTCTTCGAAACCGATATAATCTCGATCGAGTTCGATTGCGGAAACCGAAACCCCGTGTCTGACAATGGACGCGTTCAGCGAAAAAAACGCTCAGTGAGCAATCAGCGATTATTGGTTCTTACTGTTAGATCCCTAAATCTAGACCAATTACATTGACGAATTACTCAACTGTTGTGCAACTGTTGAGTTTGCTGACGCACCCAATGACGACGACAACGCACAACGACAACAACGACGACAACGCACGACGACACAACGACGACAATACATATCCGTTGTTCCATTTCCTTCCGCGTCGATCGAACATCCAGATCGATCGATCTCGTGCCGGCTGAGAAAAACCATTTTTTTTTCGGTCGGAATTCACGCGCGCGGGACTTGCTCGTCGCCTGATACTCGCCTTCAAAACAAGATCAACGACACTTTTGCGCGTCGGCGTTAACTCGCGAGATAGCGAGCGCGAGGCGGACGAGGCCGCGTTCGTGATCGCCGATCACGAGCCCGCTGGCTGATTCGCGTTCACGCGCATGTTGTCTACCACGAAGTGAGGCAGACAATGGTGTGTGGTAATAGGCTTGTTCTTTTCAGCTCAGTTAGTGCTGCACTAAAACTTTGTCTCTCTTCTTTTCCACACTCCGCTTGTTTCAGTCATTTAGTAGGCTAACAGTCTTATGCTTATGTCTGTTTTTTCCTCACAGTAGACAAAGATATGATTAGTCAGCTTACCAAGAACCTAGAAAAGTCGGCTCTAAAAGAGAGAAATGTAAGCTTAGTGTTGATAATTTCAGAGTGTTGATAATGAATCTTTTCTAAAGCCAGCGGCACATGGTGCTTGTTTTCGTGCTGGATTGCTTGTTGGATGGAAATATTCCATTTTGAATGGTGCATTTTCATCCATCTTCAGAAATGCACCAATCAGAACAGAGTATTTCCATCCAGCAAGCAAACCAGCATGAAAATAAGCATCGTGTGCCACTGGCTTAAGATAAACTCGTAAAAAGTAAAAATTTTTCTAACTCGAAAGCGTTTGCAAATATTCACTTGTCACAAATTCACAGCGGAAAAAAAGATTCGTGATTGCTTTTCTAAAAAGAACAGATTTTACCACACAAACGTACCAGAAGTGAACAAACGTTTTCTCCCCATTTTGGAAAGGGCACGAATTTTAGGGCGCGCTATTTTGAATCTTTGCATATAGACAAACGTAGAGCGAGAAGTTAGAGCCTCTGCACGAAAACATCCGTAACATGTTAAGTTTATGGATTTCTTTGTGCGTTGACTTAAGTTTAAGTTTACGTACAAGTCATTGTATTGTCAGTATTTAACGTAACGTAACATGTTACGGATGTGCTTGTGCATTGGCTCTTAGGCAGCAAACAAATCTATACGGTCGAGAATTTCAACTTAGATAGCTTCGAGCAATGTATACAAATTAGTACATAAAAACTGAAGTAATAAAACATAAGCAGTAAGCGAGTTGGCCAATCGCAATCGAAAATTACCGAGAACGAGATTATCGTGTTTTGAAATTCTCTCCAGCGTTATTGATCGATCTGCTTACTACTCAAGTTTTACCGCTTATGTTTTTGTACGTACTATCCGCTTCGCGCGAAACTTCTACATTCATTCGATTCGATAGTACGATATCGCAAAGTATCTATCTATAGCTAAGCAGCGTCTCTTGAAGCTGACTTGATCTAATCTACCACGTGCTCTCGAGCACGATTGTATTTGCAGAACTCGAGTGTTTGATCGTGTTAGCTTTGGAAATGCGCATCCAAAACGGTAGCCTTCAGGAGATTCCCTTGAAAGACTGATGGAAAAGCCGCCATAGTCCGAGGTAAACCCGAATTGAGCAACAGTGAAGTGGGCGGTTGATATATTTAACGCAGTCTTGATCGAGGAGCCGAATGCCTCTTCTTGGGGACTGGACCTTGGACCTTTCCCGAATGACGCTTAACTGTCTCTTCATAACATTAAAGCGCAAGAAACGAAGAATGCCGAGCCAGTATCTACCTTAAAAGTCTGTAAAATCTGAAGATATCTCTTTAAGTTTATAAATCTTCTCATTTTTTTTCGATTCTTTAGTAGTTAACTTAAACCTGGACAAGCTTAATCTTAGACTTAAATTTAAACTTTGTTCAAATGCATTAAACACATTGTTAGAACGGAGTGTAAATTGAAGTCCAAGTTTAAACTACTATAAAAAATCGGTCCTAAGTTGATTAATCTTTTTGAGTCCACTAGTTCTTATATATAAGTAATTTATTTTTTTAATGACAGGTTTCGTTGAAAGTTTCATCTAGAAAGAAAGGTAGAAAGAAGAGTTCGCAAAAACTAACCAGTCATTAAACATACCCGACGTAATAATCAACGTGCATCTTACCATTATCGGCGAAGACGAGGAGATCGCACGCGGTGAAGCGATTTATTATCAGGTTGTCATACGCGCGTTTTATTGGCTGCTTGTTATCTTTTGCAAATCGTTGTCTCCAGTTCTTTACTTAATAAGGAAATCAACAAACAGGAACGTCGAAAAACACGATGTTGTCTAATATACGGAGACTAAATTTATTAGCATGCGAAACGACGACGATCATTTTTGTTTTTATTCCAGACGCGTTTCCAGACGTACAACTTAGCGATGCGTCATTTCGTCGCGACGCGACTGGCGGTGCGAATCTTCGACGTGTCAAGTGCTTCTACAACATATCGTCGATTCGGGGGCTCGCGTGGGCTCGTTTGGATGCTTCGTCGTGACCGATACACACACCGGATGCGGGTGTGTCACAGCATGGGAGTCATTCGCAGAGAATAAAGCTAAAACAAAAGGAGAAGCGTAGGAGAAGCAAAGAAAGAAAAAGAGAGAATTCGGTTAACAACACACAATGTTATGATGACAATTCTCTCTACGAAGCATTAATAGATCCACAGCGCGAAGTCGATTTTGCTTTCGCGGAGAGAGAAACGCGGTAAACTTTGTTGACATCAGAAGCGTAAAAATAAAGCGTTACATGATTTTTATGATTAACTCGGGTACGCAAGAGAAGAAGAAAAAAAGGAAGCGACAAACATGTGACATAAATAAGAAGCTTGAAGGAATAACGCAACATTTGCGAAAACAGCGTAGCGTAGAACAAGGGTCATTGCGTCTGCATAAAATAAGAGACTGAGTACGACGGAGTGAAGGAAGGGATCGAGCGGGACAGAGAAGGAGATAGAGCAAAGAGAGCTGAGTTTAAACCGCGGAGGAGAGCACGCACAAAGTTAGACGAGGCCGTTCACGGGTACGAATGGATGCACGTGCACGTATACGCACACTGAGAAAGAGAGAAAAAGAGACCGACCGCCGGCGTACGGTCGCGACAAAGAGCGACGTACATCCGTGGAGAAGAAGGAGAGGTGTGGAAGTTGCATGACGCTCAAGACGCGCCGTGACGCCATAACGTATCGACCGCATTCGCCACGCGCGCTGACGTCACGATCACGGCTCGAGTCAGACCTGGAGCACGTGAACAGCACGCCTGCGATCACGCGGCGCCGGCCTGATCAGGTGGCGCGGATTGGCCGGCCGCCGGCGAGCCCCTCGCCGCGATTGGCCGCGCGAGCGCGGCGTTTATAATCACGCACACATGCAGCGACGCGAATCGGCGCGTCCCAAGGCAGCGACGACCCGAGAAAGCTTCATTGCGCTGCGAGACACCCGGTCGTTACGTACGGACCGTCGTCGCTCCACTTTTGCCGCGCGTAGGCTCGCCTTTGCGCGTGTGGTACCTCTTCGGGCGTTTCTTTTTTCTTCTCGTTTCCTTCTTTCTTTCGGCTTTCCCGTTGGCTCTGAGCAAAGCCTTCGGACTTCTTTTTCCTTTCCCTCATTGTCCGGCCGAGCCGTGTCGTCGGTCCTGCGCGAATATGGACGCGAACCAGGCACCTCTTTCGCCGCCGGCCTCGCCCCAGCTGAAGCACGTAAGTGACAGCGAATTAAATGTACCGCCACAACATCGCATCTCGTAGCCCGCGAAACTCGAACATCTTCCGCATCTTGTGTGTCACAGGGATTTCGTTGTTGACTTCGTCGCGGCTGATCGCGTGTGAATAGCGCGTTTTACCTGGCACGTGGTGTTTTTGAATTTAATTTCCATGTGCAATTTTTATTTAACTTTTAATTACTCATTTTGTTTAGCGACCTCAAAAACGACTAGTAGATTTGATATCGGTCATGGCACTAACTAGCTATTTCGGTAACTAATTTTCAAGGTAAATTTCTTTTGATCGGAAATTGAACTCATATTTCGATGATTGTGGAAGCGAAAAATTGCGACACAACAAATCATAAGACATGAATGAAGCATAAGTGTGAGATTAAATAAACAAGTAAAAAGTGAAGATAAAACGATCAACAACATAGATATTAGAAACAAAACTGCTCATTATACATCATTTTATTTTTTCAACTGAGATAACAGAATATCTTCCAAGAATAAATATTAAGGATTACACATGCATCTAATCTTTTAGCTGTATCTGTTTTGAAATCATATCCCTCAATCATCTTGTTTCGTATTTATAAACACGACCCCACATTTATCTATCATTTTTTAAACGAATTTAAACTTTTCAATGTCTCGCGCCAAAAGACTCGCTGGTATTCCTTTATGTGCTCACATCCTTCTTTATTTTGCAGATAGAACCGTTGCAGTTGTCATTTAGCGTCGCGGCTTTATTGGGGGAGAAGCTTCCGGGCCAGTCGGAGAAGTCTGAGCGAAAAGACGAGGAGGATGCGGGCTCTCATCCCGTCCTGCCGCCCACTCCTCAGCCTTCCGATACCGAGGAGGACGAGCCGCCACGAAAACGGCAATGCGTCGAGCAGTGCGAACTGACGAAGGTAAACAGCGGATGGCCTTATCGACAGACGGACTTTGCTTGCAAACAATCCTCTCTCTTTCCTCGCGGCCGTTCCCCCTTCGATTTCTCTTCTCGACCTAATCGACTGCAACGTCGAGCGTCACGCGAGCAAGTTGTTGCGATACGACTCCGTTCGAGTGCGCGCGCATGCACCATTTTACCGGTTACGTCTTTTTATCCTTCGAGTAGACGTATCTCGCGTGACATAATTCTTTGATAAGAATAGAAGTCGTAGATATAAAGTTTGCAATACATCCCAGAAATCGACAGAAACTCCATTCGCTCTGGATTGTCTTTTTTCAAATTGTTCTCTCGTCCCTCGCTAAGCCAAAGAATGTTTTTCAGTCTTGTTCGAGCATTGTAATAAAAGATTCGTTATTCTACATTTAATGAATCATCAGGCTCCTCAACTTAGTGGCCACCGTCGTTCTTTTTTCAGCTGTTGCTGGACGGCACGCCGCCGCCGAGCCCAGAGTCAGCCCGGGTTTCCGTGATAATGCGCGCAAATCGGGACGGCACCTGCAGCCCGGCCAATTTAACGGGCTGTTCCACGGTCAGCGACCACGCCGCGCCACGTGATCAGCAGACCGTCGCGCGGCAGCGCGCCAGTAGTCCGCGGGCAACCGTGCGAGTGAATACGACAGAGCCAAGGGAGAACGTGTTGCGCAGCTTAAAGTTTAAGATGAGCCGGCGTAAGGAGGAGATCATCGTCAACAGCAAGAATACTGACCGCGAGAGCAGCCCACAACAAACACAGCAACAGCAACAATTACCGAGATTACAGCCCCTGGCACCCAAGCCAGCGCCTATCGTCGTGGCCAGTCTGTTGGGATCACCCTTGGTCTTACCTCGAGCGCCTCTTTTACTTGTAACCAACGCTGCGCCGGCAACCGCCACCGTGACTGCCAGTATGACGAGCACAGGCGCCACGGAGATGCGTCGTCGCGTGTACGAGTGCGAATATCAGGGCTGCGGCAAGAACTATTTCAAGTCGTCGCACTTAAAAGCGCACACGCGCACGCACACTGGCGAGCGGCCGTTCCCGTGTCCCTACGAGGATTGCAATCGCCGCTTTTCCCGCAGCGACGAGCTCTCGCGGCATAAGCGGACACATACTGGCGAGAAGAAGTTCGCTTGCGCCGTCTGCCAGAGGCGCTTCATGAGGAGCGACCATCTGGCGAAGCACGTGAAGCGCCACGCCAGGGACAAGTCGTCTTCGTCCTCGTCGTCGTCATCGTCTTCTTCCGGTAATCAGATCTCCGCTTCGCAGGTGGCTTCCGCACCCTTGAGAGTGAGTTTGTTGCCGGTGTTGGCACCGCGATTAACGGCGCACCCGGTACCACAACTGTTACCGCCTCAATTGGCAGCTTGAACCATTTGAAGCGCGACCACCAAAGTCGCCTGAAAGCTATATTTTATGCTCTCCGCGCGTGTGCGCGCGGACCCTGATTCCGGGTCCCGGATCGCTCCCAGTATGCGGAGATGAAGGTGAAGAACTCCATATTTGGATATTCGAGTTGAACAATGCAAGTAAACAATGCAAGCGATCAGTTAAACTGATTCCGGATGACTGTTAAAGACGGGGAGTCGATCTTGTATTCGATGAAGTGCTGCTGGAAGCCTAAACGTGGCAGCGGCCAACTGATTAACCCGCATAATCTGGTCAGTTAAGAAGATGATGAGGTCGTCGAGACTTGAAGGTATAATCCACGGGAAAAGAATGTAAATCAGCTGGCATGTATAAACACTGTTTCTCATAGTGGGAACATCGAAGATGCAGATATGCGAAGCTAAATAGGAGTAGAGATTGAAGATAGAACAGAGAGAGAGAGAGAGAGAGAGAGAGAGAGAGAGAGAGAGAGCCGTACTTAAGGATACAAAGTAAAAAACACAAAACGGCGATAAGTCATCGAGTAGGAGGACTTCATCACCGTCCACGAACCGAGTACCTAAGTGAGTCTGTGATCCGTGACGCGTGAAGGCTAGTGCACAGTTTAATCGAGAGTATCACGGCTGGAGAGTTCCTCTCAGAGAGTGAGGCTCATGTTCGCAGTGTGTATTCAGCGTCAAATGTGGCCATATGCTCCTTGAGGAGTGCGATAACGGCGAGTGTAATCGCTCATATTACAAACAGAATCGAATCCAAATCACGCATTATTAACGCTAAATATTGGCTGTCAGAGAAGACGGGTTTCAAGCTTTTGCGGGTGCCATCATCGATTGCTCGGCGGCTCCATTCAAGCGATGCAGACGTTTGAAGGAAGACGATGCGCCAACGGTATTGCGGATTCTTTCTTCGGATATCTTTCGCACGGCTTTTGGAGCATCGTGTCGAGCCACTCGAGTCACTCTCTAGGAACCAGCTGCTCTCGACGAAGAGGTCTCAAACGCGCGCACCAAGCTTCTTCAGCGCGTTGACCGAGAGACAGAGAAGAGAAGGAAGAATATTTATTTACGAGAAAGAGCGAGATGTGTGTTACGATGTATATTTAAAACAGTTATGCAGCGGCTTCTAAGATTATAGATCGCCGATGGTTAGTTACGCATGTTGGTTAATGAACCAGGGGCGCAAAGGTGGATTCAACGGCGAGATCGCGGAGAACGTGGTTTCTTTGTCGACGATTTTGTTATTATATTTCTCCCCTCGAATCACAATTCTCCCGCGTTTATTCCGCAGAGACTCGCAACGTGTTGTTTTTTTTCTTCCAGAGTTTATTTAATATTCTATTTCTCTCTCGTGTCCACGCGCGCACACGGGCGACTCTCGTGATTGTTGCGACCCGCAAAGCGCCCAGATTCGCCCGTGGCATCGTGCACGCATATGTATCACGGTCGGGTAAGAAATACTCTCGCCCGGAGGTATAAGACTTTATTGTATATATGTATCGTTAAACTGTCAAGATTTTTTCTACAGTTAAATAAATTGTATACTTTCGTAAATCGTTACGAATCCATCTCTTTCCTTTTTGTCTCCCTCTCTTGCAATATTTTGTAATTTGCATCGATATCTTCATTATACTGACAAAAAAGTACTTTGTGAAATTTTATTTGTGGGATATGACGTCGATTTACAGAAAAATAAACTTTATATCTTGCAAATAAAAATTTTCAAGTATTTTTTCTCAGTGTACTTCACTTATATTTTAGATGCTCACACTCGTTTCTACTTGAACAAGCAAGAATCAATTAGCAATAGATATTTAAATACTTTTTCTCGTATTAACATTTTGTATCTCGGGATCTTCCTTTCACCGGAAGAAGCGGATTTCTCGTGTAGCCGAGGAGCGGGTTGAGGATACGCGGTTTTAATTCCGTGAGGAAGGTCGCGGCACAACATGGTCATTGTGATAAGGGAGCTTGACGAAAAGGGAGCTGAATTACGCAGAACTACTGAATGGTCTCGACGCACACGTAGTCGTCAGCGCGATATGAGAAGTTACATTCGTCGGTGATGACATCGTGTTCACCAATGCGTCGCGTCGCTCCCGTGAACGTGCCTTTGCGTGAATACCAGACAAACATCTGGCGATAAGATACGACTGTCTGCACGTGGAGCTAAATTCATCTCAGATGTGGATCATTCATCGTTTTTATTCGAACGAAAACGCACCGAAATTCGGCAAAAATATCAAAACATCCTGAAAAGCCATTTTTCTGAAAGAAAAACGTCAACATGAGATCTGATTTCGCTGAAATCGCATACACAAAATTGTTAAAAAAGGGGGAGAAAAAGAAAGATAGGGCGACTGCTGCAATTCAACGGAATTGTTGCTGCTAGACGATCACCGACCAGACTCTTGGTCTTGGCGAGATCACCGACATCGATAAGATTCGTCTGGCGGCTCGGCACAGGTGAAAATATTATTAGCGACGATCTTCGTCTCGTGCTAGCGCGAGTCACAAACACTTATACACTTTTAAAAATACAGGCTGATCGACTCGAAAAAGATGTCTCCTAATGATTGAGAGATGATAAAATTCAGTCTTGAAAGAGAGATTTTATATATCTACTCAACATAAAGCAATTGTCTCTTTAATCAAGTGATACAGGGACACGTGGTTTTGCATTCTATTACGAATTCACGGAAAATTATTTATCCTATTTTAAAATAGAGAATACTTTTTATCTTCTCTCCTTCTCTCTCTCTCTTTTTGTTTATATATTCTACTTTACTCTGCAAATTCATCATTGTTTCACGTCTGAGATTTATTATCAGTGTCTGAAAATTCAAAAATGAAAATGATACGCACATGATTAGCCAATGATTCTAAAGTTTTATCGAATGTCTAGATGTACTCTATCAGTGACGATTTTTTTATCACATATCTCATCTAAACTCCGCCAAGTATTATCTTTATCGCGGACGAGTACCGAGACATGTCTGGTAATTGAAATGAGCAATATGTCAAGGAAATATCGGTCATGGATGAAATGTAAATGTAACTGTAATGAATTCACGAGGAAATCATCTCGCAGTTATAATGACTATTTACGTTTATTCCTAAAGGATTCACCACACTGGAAAGAAAATATTTGAAAATTTATTTGTGGGATATAAAGTTTATTCACAGAAAAATTAATTTACTGAAATAAATTTATTTTACTGAAATAAATTTTAAATCCCATAAATAAATTTTCAAGTATTTTTTCTCAGGGTGGAAACACAAGACAGAAAGATGCTGTCTTCATGATTCTATTCAAATATACCGCGATAACAAAATCGTGATAAATTTTTTTGTCGCCACCTCGGCGTTTTTTATGTTTTTAGATAACATACTTAGAGGGGATGACCATTTTTTCGTACTTCCGTCCAGGACTCATTCCTGCCAGATTGAACAAAATGGCGAAATTACTTTAGACGAATTTTCCTCGACGTGAAAACCTCAAGGAGACGCATTTTTGCTGACGTAAGCGGGCTGTCGCAACCGCGTTTCAAGAAGGCGGTGTCCGATCGTCTCTGGACTTTTCCGGAGCCGGTGCGCAACACCAGAACAGGACGAGAACAACATCGTCGTCGTGCATATAACGACGCGACGGCAGTAACTCGTGAAATCTCCGATTTTCTTGCATCAGCCAAGGACTCGATCTCATTGAGCGATGTTGATATCACAAACAGGTGTGCTGGACCGGTAGATGACGCAAAATATCCTCGCGATTACCCTTCGTTCACCTTTATTGAAATTCGAAGCTCGAGCGAAGTTCTTGCGAAAAAACGAAACGCAGACCCGTGTTGAGGATTTATTTGGGTGAGACAGGTTGACGTTTGTCTCTATCGTAGCTTTTTTCCTCAACGATTAAGTATTTTCGTTGTTAAACGCTCAAACAAATTCCCGGTAAGGGAAAATCGAATTTTAACGCAATAAGATCATTAATATTTGTGGTATTTATAACGCGATAATGTAATCTTTCATCTTAGTATATACAGAAAGTAAATTGTGAATTTTTCAGAATTTGAAATGCGGAAATTTGAGAATTTGGAAGAATCGTGAAGGTTATTTCGAGGGTTGATTCTGTTTCGAGATAATAGAACAAATAATAGACATGAAAGGAGAAAAATATCAGATATTTGTGTTTTGAGTCACTTTAAAACTGAACGTTCTTTAACAGGAAAGATATCGACGTAAACAAGGGTGCAACATCTCTCGGCTGTTGCATCAAGCTAAATATTTCCATTTCTATATTGCGTCTGCGTGCAGCAGTAATAGTAATTAACGGGCAGGTTCATTAGTCTCTTTTTTGTCGTCACGTCTATTGCATCAATTTGCTGTTAAATGCGAAAACAAATCATTTCCGCATACGTCGTTATTGTAAATTAAGTGAAAAAACGTTGAATCATGAAACGGCATTATAAAACGTCTCGTTGGATCGCAATAATGAATAGCAGAAATATTGAATGACATATATATGTACATAATTGTGAGAGAGAGAGAGAGAATTAGCGGGAAAAAACATCAAATAAAACTTAATCGTGAAATTGAAGATAGACACATAGAAGATAGAAAAATCGAAGAATTTAAATCAATCGAATTAGTAAACAACAAAAAATCGTTAAAAATAATCTGAAGAAAAAATAGAATATAAATTAAATGTAGAAAGACTTTATTCTCTCGATAAACTTTGCAAAAATAGATGTACAATTGTTACATAACTTCATCTAATTTACAAACGTAACCCTACATATATATGCGTGTGGTAGTATCAAAGTCTGTGGCAGCATATAAAACTCTTGAAAGTAATAAATGCACGACTCTATCTACAATACTTCCGCGGAACGCCGCTAAATGGGCCGTGTAAATTCCAAGTCCAAAAATATATAGTACTTTACACGTCACAACAGTCTCTGCGTATTATACATGATACGTATTAGGCCCTCTTATTCTATCCGATTTGAAGACGTGGAATCACATGTACTATACTTCGCAAAAACAAATCCGTTATTCGCAAGAGCAGCTGAAACTTTCTCTAATAGTTTCGTTAATCGCAAAGTTCGCAAAGCTATTTCTTCAGTAAAAGGCTAAGCTAAATTTTCTACAAATATTCAGGGTAGAAAGATTATATTTCAGATAAAAATTACATTATTCAGATAGATATCACTTCAATAATGAGATTTAAGTAATTAATAATACAAATAATTAAAAAGTAAAAGAAGTATGATATTGTACTTTTAATTTATAAAGTTCGGAAAGTGCACATTTGATAAACTTCCTTTTAAGTTTATTCTGTGATAAGTCAGCTAAAAAAAAGAAAAAATATAAAAATGTTTAAAAGTTCCTTCAGCATTAAAGAACGATAAATAGTTTCAGCTGATCTTAAAATAACTAAATTAGAACACGTAAAATATGATGCGAGTATCAAATTGCATTGCAGAATTAAGAAGGATTAATAATTTCTGTATCTATTTTTGAAGTGGTTTTTGTTTATGAAGTGGATGGAATATATAGTTTTAGAATGAACGAGAAAGGATTGATTAACGTAGAAATTCGCTTGCGATAGACTCCTATCGAACTTTTACTTCGGATGGAACTTTCGTGTAGAGTCGGCTGCCATATCGAGTAACGTTTGACATGGTTGGAAAGCTTCGCCGTAGTGACTTCGGAATTCCTCCATCTTCTTAACGAGTCGATGCGCACCGTAATAATCTACCCAGCGGAACGGACCGCCCGTGAATGGTGGAAAACCCAAGCCGAACACAGCTCCCACGTTGCCTTCCACCTAAATTATAAATCGTTAATAAGTGAAAAGCCAAGGAGAATGCTAATTGCAAAGAGTATAAAGATGGGAAAACAATTTACAAAATTCCATGATTCTCAACTCTTATCGATTAGTATTAAAGAAACATCTTATTGATCTGAAAAATGTTTGGCGTGCCAAACTACAAGAGATCTATTTAGAATGAACATTTTGAGATGTAAATTACAGCGAGAATTTATGAATATCCTATATATATATATATAGAATTTTTATATCTTGTGTAAAATTATTCAGATTAATCTTCTTATTATCTACTAACGTTAAGTAGTTATGCAGGAAGTCTTAGATAAACAAGCTATATTAACTTACGGGATTGGCTAGAATATTTTCTTCCAAGCATAACACTGCCTCGTTGACGAACCGCGAGACCATCCTTAATTGACGGTCTTCATCGGATGTGCTACCTTTGGGTTCAAGCTGGTATTTCTTCAAGATGTCCAAGGCACCGGTATTCACATCTCTGTGCTTAGAGTTGGTCTCGTATACAAATAAACCTTTGCCGGACTTGCGCCCTAAAATAAACGTGTAAAATATGTAGAATAAACTCTTTACATAAGATAGTTTCGAATTGAATTATAAGTAAATTATGAAGTAAACGATAAATACTTAATTCTTTCGTACACACATTACTCCATTACTCGTGTGTAATGGAATAAATGCCCCAGTTTTATTTTTTAGGAATTTACTCAACGAAGGTTTCAAAGATTATAATTGAAAGTTTACCGAGAAAACCAGCCTTAACCATGTCGTCGAGAATGTTTGCGGTACCGCCCTCGAAGCGCTTGCCGTAAGCTTTAGCGATATCAACAATGATGTGAGCACCAACATCGAGGCCGACTTCGTCGGATAGAGTGGACGCACCAACTGGGAAGCCGAATGTTTTTGTCAACCTGTCCAGGCCTAGTGGATCTACACCCTCCTGTTTAACAAACCACATTCGTTTTATGTTTAATAGAAATAGAATCACACTTCGGTGAAAAGTAATCATTATCACAAATATACTCCTAATTATTATCGCTCACCTGCAACAGCCTCATTGCTTCTGACTGCATCGCGGCAAGTATCCTAGTGGTGTAAAATCCAGGGCAATCACCGACCGTAATAACGGTCTTGCCCTGTTTCAGGCCGACATCCACAGCGGTTCTGATGGTTTCCTCGGACGTTTCCTTGTGTGTTATAATTTCTAATAGTTGCATCTTATCGACGGGAGAGAAATAATGCATACCGATCACCTGTAAAAGTCGAGTTTTGTAAGAATCGCATATATTCATATATTTCTCTCTTTTCAATTATAATTTACTCTATTTTTATGTTAAATTTACGTTTAAAACTTCTCTTATAACGACTTCTCTTATACTTGATGTAAATGAACGTATAATTTGACACATAATAGAAAATATATTACTTTATCAGGACGACTGCAGCCAGCAGCGATCTTCGAAATAGGAATTGCGGACGTATTGGTAGCAATGACACAGTGACTCGGCACCACGGATTCAATTTCCTTCAGGACCTTATGCTTAATACCGATATCCTCGAACACTGCTTCAATCACCACGTCTACATTCTTGAAGGAGTTATAATTCAACGTTGTGTCGAGTTGTGAGAGGTATTTGTCTTTTTCAATACTGCAGAAAAATCCTCATTAAAAAGAATGCAATTCTGTTACAACTTTAATATCAGTGGGGAAATACGTACTTTGAGATTCGTTTGCGCTTCACGGCATTGTTTAAGCCTTTTTGAATTTGATTTATACCACGATATAGTCCGCTTTCGTTGGTATCCTTCATAACAACGTTGTAACCTTTGTCAATGCTGACTTGGACAATGCCCGCGCCCATCAAACCCGCACCAACCACAGCGATTTTTCTGCTCATAATAATAATAAACCGATAATAATAATAATCAATTATTATCGAAGTTAACTATAACTGAAAGGTTAACTGTAACCGAAGGTAACTGTTATATACAAATATTACATATTTTTCTAATGTGTAATAATAATTTATCCAATTAATTATATTAGGCCGAATTCTATATAAAAGTTTATTAGAAAACGTACTTGGGTGCATTTGTCGCTGAGCCAAAGCGATTCTTTTTGCAGGCTGTTTGACCGAAGAATAGACTGATGAGGCCCTTACACTGCGGCGTAACTGATAATTGACTGAATCCTTTGGCCTCGGCCTCGAGTCCAGCAACGAAGCCTTTGTCCAGGCCGGCTCTCACCACTTCTAAGATTTTGAGCGGAGCAGGATACATACCACCAGTTTGTTTCATCACTTGGGCCTTTGCTTTTTTGAATATCTGGTCTTTGAGAAAATTGAAAGACAGAACCTGCTGGACTATCTTGTCTGCCATAGATTTTGGGCCACGTTGGACTTTCAGTTTTCCATTTGCAAGATCTTGTGCGGTTTTCACTGCGGTCTCTTCTAAGTACCTCAGTGTACTGAAAAAAAAAACAGATATTTATAAGTTCTTTGATTTTTTAAGATTTTTCACAATCTTACTTTATTCAATTTATGAAAAAAAAAATTATTCGATATTTTGAAATCGGTTTTTCGATATTTTAAAATATTAAATAATACTCTTTTAATACAATACTCTTTTAATTTAGAGAGATATGAGATTTTAATTTACAAGAAGATGAAATTAGTGAAAGTTAGAATGTTAAGTCTAAGCAAATTTATTTGAAAATGCACTTTTTATTTGCATTTTTACTTTTCTTCGGGTGTTCCAATTCCTGGGCCGAGACGGTTCACTATCATGTCCACCAATCCAAGTTTCTTTGCTCTGTCAGCTTTAATCATTTTACCGGTGAGCATCATATCCAGAGCAGTAAGAAGAGAAACTGTCTGAGGTAATCGTTGAGTGCCACCACCGCCAGGAAGTAACCCGAGCATTACTTCAGGTAATCCAAGACTAGTCTTTTTATTGTTAACGGCAAGTCTGTAATGACATGCTAATGCGACCTAAACAAAACAAACTAATTAATAATTTTTCTATTTATTACTATAAAATATCTTTTTTTATGTGCCTCGCATTTTTCTACATACTTTAGTTTATATATAATAAAATTTTATTTTTTTTAAAGGCTCACCACAATTATATATATATTTAATTTAATTATTAAAATAAAAATAATAACAACAAAAAATCTATATTATTTCGTAATACACCGTAAAAACTATCTCCGATAGGGTTCATTATAGCTACAGTAACTGATAAAGAAGTTTTATGTGTCTATTTTAAGTATTGGACGTGAATATTAGATATTACCTCTAATCCTCCACCAAGACAACTGCCTTGAATGGCAGCAACAATTGGCTTGCTGCTTGTTGATATCATATTGAAAATACGATGTCCTTCTATAATCATTTCATAACTACTCTCTACGCTTGTAAGATTTTCTAACATACTAATATCTGCACCAGCGATAAAATTATCTGGTTTTCCACTGATGAGAACCATAGCATTTACAAGTGAATTTGATTGAATTTCCGTCAATAACCCTTTGATTTCCTCCATAACTTCCTTGTTTATGGTATTCATCTGTGTTAACAAAAGACGAAAATCTGTATTAATATATGTTTTTTCTGTTTTAATATTTAAATGTTTTGCGTTTAAATGAGCACATTAATGATAAACACTGCTCTAGTGTAATATTATGTAAGCATGTTACACAACTTATCTAAAGATAAGTATTTAAATTAAGTAACTAATAGAATGAGACAAATATATTTTTTCTCACTCTAACTTATTGCACTAGTGCAGCTAAAAAGAACAGGACAATTGAATTAAATTAGAAACTGTAATTGTATATTGCATATATACCTTGACTCCTGGTGAGTCCATTGCGATGACTGCTACATTGTCTACTATTTTGCATTTGAAATGTTTTCTATTTGCTTCAGTTGCTAATGTTCTTGATATTTGATACAAACCTGCAAAGATATAGCCAAAAGTTAAAATATAGGGAATCTGGTAGTTCAATACAGAATACAATATGCAGAATAAGGCACAGTACAGTTCATAATTTTTAATGGAGATATATACACACATTGAAAATATATATAATAAGAAAATATATATTATAATAAGTAATAAATAATAAATAATATGATTTTTATACGATATTTAACTTTATATTCGAGTTGTATCGATAACTTAATTTTGATACTTTCGATAACTTTTTATTCCAATATTTTTTCAACATTTATTTTCTGATTATGACAGATTTAATAAGTTCTTTCTTTTTCTAAACCTATATTCGTATCATTTAGAGTGTATAAAATGTAAATCATTATTCATAATTCAGAATTATTTAGCTTATTCATAAAAAGATTCTTTATTTTTTATTTGTTCTTGTTATTTGAAATTCAGACAAAACGATCCCAATCAAAATGATCCCAAGTAGAACAGGTTGCCTATTTACAGAACAGGTTAACGTTCTTGAAGTTAATTTTTGGAACGTATCTATAAGATAACAAGTCAATGTCAATAATTCGCCATATAAGATATTCGTCTATAAGATAACAAGTCAATGTCAATAATTCGTCTTCATTAATATAATATCGATTAAATAACAGTTTACAGTTGGTTAATAGCTAGTTCATTTATACATCTTACAGTTATCATTTAGTATATATTTAATTTGTATCCATGTACCAACTTGATACTTTTATATCTACTCGGGAAAAAAAAGTTCATATAAAAGCCAGATATGGATTTCGTCAAGATCTGATCAAATATAATCAGATATAATTCAGATATGATTCAGATTTGTCTATATATAATCATATATAATCATATATAATCATATATATAATCATATATAATCATATATACAATTATATATGATTATATATGGACAGATCTAAATCATATCTGAATTAAATTTGATTATATATGATCAGATCTTAACAAAATCCATATCTGGCTTTTATATGAACTTTTTTTTCCCGGGTAGATATAAAAGTATCAAGTTGGTACATGGATACAAATTAAATATATACTACGAAGAAAGCCATATCTGGCTTTTATCTGAACTTTTTTTCCCGGGTAAATGATATCTTTTTGGATATTAAAAGTTATCTTTTGGGCGGACATTAGATAACCCTTTCAGTAATCAGAAACTTAAGTTTTTTTATCGAAAATAAAGTTATTCTGACCTAATTTTATAATATATTAGTAAAATGGAATACTTTAAGATAACGTTGTTCCACTTGGGTTAGTGCATAAGTTAGTCCAGATGAAAACATTTTAATTTTAAATTTTGACATTTCGAAACCAATGATTGATCTGCTCATTCGAATTGTTCGGGTATTCTGGACATAAGCAATGAGAAAAATTGAAATAAAAATAATAATTATTGTAAATGGAAGACAGTCTCAGGATTCCCGAACGACTTGAAGTTTGGCATAAAAAATTGAACGGTTCAAGTTGTTTAAGTCTCTGCAAATTCCGAGTAATAATATGAATGTATTCACTGAGTTCAAAATACATAAAATGTAGCAGTTTATTCCTAGCGACAACTACTGTCGGTGCCAAGACCGTCATAGTTATCACAAGTTAACGCTGATCGACCTTACAGTAACCGGCTCTCTCTCTCTCTCTCTCCGCTTCTCTTTATACGACATAGGATCAAAGGTCGCGCCGAATCCATATCGGCTAAATCCTTTTGAATCCAGCCCAACCTATAGATTACATTTAACACTGACTTCAAGAACACAGCACACAGCTTCAAGAATATCTAGTTCGACCGCTAATTCCTCGTGATATTGTCCAATGCCTACTGTTCGCCCACTGCCAACCGAAATTGGGTCGATATATCATTCATTTATCGAGATTGTTTTTTGCGCGTTACGTGGATCCCGGGTGATCCTTGAAAACGAAGTTACAACCCGGCCACGTAACGAGCAAGATCCTGCCGCAGGTCGATCGCTGATAGATCGTTTCTAAATCGAATTCTTTGATTCGTTTTTTTCTGTTCGAAACGTTCCGAGTCACATATACCTAGGCTAAGTTCGGCTTGCGCGTTTTCGTGCTGAAGGCATCGTTCTATCTTCCTACAGCACGTATGATGAGCGATAAAGATAGAATGGTGCTTTTAGCATGAAGATATGCACGACGAACTCAGTCGTAATCACCTGCACGTGTCACGTAAGTCGCGTTGGCACGGGTGCAACGCGCGAGGGCGCCGAACAACCTGCAGCTCGCCATATTTCGTTCGACTGGATCAGACGGACACTCACTCGCATCGATGGGGAAAAACGCGAGTCACGCCGATAGCTCCGCGAAAGAGCGACACTTCGCGTGTACCGCTCCGTCAGCGAACGAAGGAAAATATCGCCCATTCGATGGCGCGCGTGCACCGCCCGCCCGGGTGGGGACACATGCATTCGAGAGTATCGACTCAAGCGATAAATATCGAATCGATTCACGCTTTCCCGCTTTCACTAAGTGGTGTTTTCGCCCTCATTCTCTGATTCGATTGGTTTTATTTTCGCGAAATAACGATCAACTAAAGATAAATTGAAATTCCGAAATCAATAAAATTGAAAAAAGCAATACAAATGAGTCTAAAGTACCTGGGAAAATAAAGACCCATATTCCGAACTCTCTTCTATTGCTAAAAGTAACGCTTTTAGCAAATGTTTTTTTGACGGAAAGTCTTTGTGCAATATCGTGATATAATTTGTGCGATATCATGATAGTTTCTTATCATACATCGCAAAAAATATCACGTATCGTGATAGTTTTCTAATACATGTCGCATATCGCATCTTTCTGTTATATAATCGGTTATATATATTATGTCTATCATAAGTGGAAGAGGTAAACATAACTTACATAACTTAGATAAAATTGAATAAAATTCCTTCTCAAAGCGAGCACGCTTTTACTTTACACTTGTGATAAAGAAGAGAGAAAAAGCTGCAAGAAATTTTGTATTTACTATCAAAGTTGTTCGAGAGTATCGAATATCGAGTATCGAATATCGAGTATCGATACTCTGCCACGTATCTCGAACTCTCGCAAGAAAGTACATGCTGTGTCAAATGTTTTGGCTGCTTCAGGGGGTCGATCATGTATCTTTTCTAGGATGAATTCGTGAAAAAATGAAAATAAAGCAAAAAAGTGAAAAAATGAAAACTTTCATGCGAATTGATATTTCCCCTGAAAAGTAATATCCATATTCATAATAAGTTAATCAATTACGATGGCTGCTGCATGGTGGATAGTTAATGAAGAACAAAATGAAGGAAACGAGAATTTACGAATTGCGTAAAATTTTAAGAGATATTCAAGATCCTTTTGATATCCTAGAAAAACAATTTCAGGAATTATATAGGTAATAATAATTATTATTATATTATTGTAATTAATTTTATTATTTTATTATTATATTTTTTGTTTGTGTGTTATATTCATTCTAAACAAATAATATATAATATGAAGAAATATTATAAGCAAACATGAGAATATTTATAATCTATTATTTTCTCACTTTAATGTAATTATGCTCTATGCAAATGCGCTGGGTTGAGTTAAAACATATACTATAATAAAACTAACTCAACTTGACCTAACTTTGAGTATTTCGGAAGCATTCATGACCTAACACCCAACAAAGAAATCACTAGATTATTTTTATTTTACCATATAAGTATTACAAATATGCACACTTACTTTTCACGTTTTAGCTTACATGGTTGATGACTAAAACGTGAAAAATAGTATAATACTATCATCATGCGCAAATATGTAAATTGTAATATTACGCATGCCTATTCCACAATTCAATGTGGACAACTGCTTCAGTGAATTTTACTTTGTATGGTTGCATACTTTTTTAAAATTGAAATTATATGATAAAGAATTTTGCATAAAATATACAAAGAAAATATTACAACAATATATTATGCATTATAAATACAGATGTGCATTAAATAAAACAAGTTTATAATAATTATTACAAATATTTAGAAATTGTTCATTTTTCACGATTTCATGCTAGGGAAAAAAGTTATATGATCGATAGTAAAATTAAACTCACGTGAAAAGATTCATGACTAATGCCCAGGGTAGCGATTATGAATCTTTTTCCCTAGTGTGAACTCGTGAAAAGTGAAAATTTTGTAATAAACTCGTGAAAGATGAAAACCTTCACTAAACTCGTGAAAAATGAAAGATTTAACGTGAATTTGTAAGTAAAATTTGTTTGTTTTAAATATTACAATATATTTAAGACAACACCAATTTGCAATGGACATCTTTAGAATTTTTTCAGCATGTTTTTAAGATACCAGGTCTGTAAATATGAAACCGGAATTTGCCCATAGATAGTCCTAGCTGTCAATGTAGTTACCGTCAAACCGCGTCATTGGCGCCATTTCCTTGTTGACATCTCTGACAAAGATTTTCAACTCACAACAATACAAGTTTTATATAACAGCATAGTTTGTAATAGCGTTGAACATGTCGAATTTTGTGCCTGGAAACTAGGATTTGCGGACAGCATTGATTTTCTGTTACCATTTGAAGAAAACTGCTGCAGAATCGCATCGAATGCTTGTCGAAGTTTATGGTGAGCACGCTCTTGGTAAATCACAGTTCTTTGAGTGGTTTAAAAAATTCAAAAGTGGCGATTTTGACGTGAGGAACGAAGAACGTGAAAGACCACCGAAAAAGTTTGAAGACAGCGAATTGCAAGCATTGTTGGATGAGGATGACACGCAAACGCAACAACAACTCGCGGATCAATTAAATGTAACACGAGAAGCCGTCTCCATACGTTTGAAAGCTATGGGAAAGATCCAGAAGATGGGAAAATTGGTTCCACATGAACTGAATGAAAGACAGCAGGAAAACCGAAAAACCACTTGCGAAATGCTGCTCGCCAGGTACAAAAGAAAATCATTTTTCCATCGAATTGTGACTGGCGATGAAAAGTGGATATATTTTGAGAATCCTAAGCGTAAAAGATCATGGGTAACTCCAGGCGAACCATCGACATCGACTGCAAGGCCAAATCGC